GTCCCAGCTACTCAGGAGGCTGAGGCAAGAGAATCACCTAAGCCCAGGAGTTAGAGGTTGCTGTGAGCTGTGACACCACGGCACTCTACTGAGGGCGATAAAGTGAGACTCTGTCTCTTAAAAAAAGAAAAAAGAAAGCATTGTCTAACAACTAGGGCTGTCCACTGATAGGTTTCCTTTTGGGTTAGTGAGTTCTCTTTTAGCAGAGGTTCGGTAACAACTGGCAAAAGAAGGACCCATATTAAACTAGGAATTAGATGAACGTGAGGTTCCTTGAATCGATGGATGGGGCCATTAGCAGCAGTGGATATGAGAAATAACTATTGGTCACACCTCCACAAACTGGCATAAACTGTTCTTAGTATCTGGTAGATAAACTGAGGCCACAGTGACCTTAATTGTGTTGGCTACAGCTTTAAAGAACTTTTCAGGGAGCTAGAGACCAGCCTCAGCAAAAGGGAGACCCCCTCTTAAAAAAAATAGCCTGGCGTTGTGGCAAGCACCTGTAGTCCCAGCTACTTGGAAGGCTGAGGCAATTGGATGACTTCCAGGGGTCCTCAAACTTTTTAAACAGGGGGCCAGTTCACTGTCCCTCAGACCGTTGGAGGGCCAGTCTGTGGGGCCCAGGACAAGTCAGCTGCTAAGCAGAACAGGCAGCAGTGGCAAAAACACCCACGGGGCCAGATAAATGTCCTAGGAGGGTTGCATATGGCCCATGGGCCGTAGTTTGAGGACACTAACCCAAGAGTTTGAGGTCACTGTGAGCTATGATGCCACAGCACTCTACTGAGGGGGACAAAGTAAAACTCTATCTCAAAAAAAAAAAAAAAGGCTCAGCACCTGTAGCTCAGCAGCTAGGGCGCCAGCCCCATACGCTGGAGCTAGCAGGTTCGAATCCAGCCTGGGTCTGCCAAACAACAGTGACAACTGCAACCAAAAAATAGCTGGGCATTGTGGCGGGCACCTATAGTCTCTGCTACTTGGGAGGCTAAGGCAAGAGAATTGGTAGCCCAAGAGTTTGAGGTTGCTGTGAGCTGTGATGCCATGGCACTTTATCCAGAGCGACGGCTTGAGTCTCTGTCTCAAAAAAAAAAAAGAAAGAAACTGGTGGCCAGGTGTGGTGGCTCACACCTGGCACTCCGGGAAGCCAAGGCAGGTATACTGCCTGAGCCAGAGTGAGACCCTGTGTCTAAAAATAGCCGGGTGTTGTGGTGGGTGCCTGTAGTCCCAACTACTTGGGAGGCTGAGGCAAGAGAATCGCTTGAGCCCAGGAATCTGAGGTTGCTGTGAGCTCAGTGCTGTGACTTCTCTGTACTCTACTATGGACAAGAAAGTGAGACTCTGTCTCCAAAAAGAAAAAAAAGAGCTTTCTTGGCCAAATCATTGCTACTCTACTCTTCTTCCTCTGTAACTCAAAAACAGTTACATGCTAGTAAGACGTTACAGTGCTGAACATGATGTACAGACTCAAAAAGAGAGAAAGGAGGGCAGCACCTGTGGCTCAGTGAGTAGGGTGCTGGCCCCATATACCAAGGGTGGCGGGTTCAAACTCTGCCCTGGCCAAACTGCAACAAAAAAATAGCCGGGCATTGTGGTGGGTGCCTGTAGTCCCAGCTGCTTGGGAGGCTGAGGCAAGAGAATTGCCTAAGCCCAGGAATTGGAGGTTGCTGTGAACTGTGACATCACAGCGCTCTACTGAGGGCTAAATAAAGTAAGACTCTGTCTCTTTAAAAAAAAAAGAAAGAAAGAAAGAAAGAAAGAGGGCTCAGCGCCTGTGGCTCAAGTGGCTAAGGCACCAGCCACATACACCTAAGGTGGTGGGTTCGAATTCAGCCGGGGCCCACCAAACAACAATG